TGCTGTTTGCAAAAGACCTTCGTAAGAAGGTAAGCAATTGCAGTTGAAGCCCTGTTAGTCCTCTAAGGTTTGAGGAACAGGCAACGACCCTGCGCAACAGCTGAATTGCAGCTAAGAAGCGAGCTGTCGTTAGAAGTCCTATCGGTCCTCTATTGAACGGGGCATAGGCCGCGATACTGAGTCAAAGTACTGACTAGTACGAGATCGCGAGCGTGAGGTTAAAGGAACTACCAAAAGTCGCGACCACAACGGCAATCGAAAGCTGTTTAGATAAGCCTTGCTTTTAAGAGCAAGCTATAGAAGCCCTGTACAGTAACAGGCCACGGAAGCCCTACTAGTCCTTACCGTAGAGGAGTAGGCCACGACGCGGAAGCTTACGAGAAGCTTAGCTACTAGACTAGAGCGATCGAAGGAGAGAATACCGATCGGGAAGCCCTGCACGAGAAGCAGGCACATACGGAAACGAGCCCTCCGATAAAGAATTAGAACATAGAGGACAACTTGCCTAACCTCAACGCGGACGAGCTGTCAGCCTACGCGTTAGCTAAACACCTCGCCGGAGTACCAGACGACGAGATACAGCGGAGTATCGTTCAAATGCTTAAGAACGACGGCTGGAAAGAAGCTGCGATAGCGCCGATAATCAACGAGATCGCAAGGCGAACCAAAGGCGTAGCGGAGACGAAAGGATCACCTAGAAGCCCACCGAAAGCTGCTCAGGATGCAACAGCAGCGATGATAGCCGCCCTAACTCAACTCACACAAATGATGGTTCCGATAACCTCTCAGCTAGAAGCGCTAGAGCAACAAAGTGCTCAACAAACTCCACCTGCGCAGACGCCTAAGAGCTATCTAGATCCTGTCGGGGCGCCTACCCTATTAGTAGAGTCCTAAGCGCTTATAACTCGCAAGAGTAGACTACCTGACCTAGAACGCTTTAATAGAACTCGTGAGAAGTATGCGAGCTAGAAGTACGAGTGTAAAGGCAAGCTCGAGTGCGACTCAGCGCTCTACCTAGACGAGAACACTAAGAAGCGATACGTGCTTAGTCGTACCACCGGTAGAGCAAACTAGGTCCTTTTGCCTTAGCTAGTAGCGAACAGAGACTAGTTAGTTAGCGAGCTGTGGAAGCACCTCGATCAGAGATTCTAGGACGTACATTAAGCGGATCGTGCGATAGATAAGTTACGTCACCTTAGGCAGGGAAAGCGCTCTGTACGCGACTATGCTGCAGAGTTTGACCAGCTCAGAATACAATCAGGTTTACAGGCCGACGCGCGTATAATTAGAGAAATGTTTAGCGAGGGCCTAAACGTTGAGCTTTAGAAGTTCCTAGTAGATGCTCCTAAGGATCGTACCTTCGAGGAGCAAGCAAACAAAGCTATTGAGATCTCTGATCGGCTGTATCGCATCCAACTTACGAGCAAGAACCGAGGAGGTGCAAGGGTTAACAGGAGCTAAAGCCTAACGGCCTCTCGGTCTAAGGACGCATCAGAAGAGATAGACTAGGAACTAACAAGAGTTAGCAAAGCAAGTGCGAAGGACAAGAGACTGAACAGCGATCAGATCGAGTGCTACTCCTGCGGCAACAAGGGGCACATAGCTAGGAACTGTAACAAGAGCGCAAAGGTAAGGAGCGTTAAAGCGAGCAGAGCAGCTCAGCGTGAATCCCCGTCTGCTTGTAAGTGCTATGCAGAAGCATTAGATAGCAACAACTCGGAAGACCTGGGAAAAGAGTAGCTCCGGACTATAGTCTCGGTTCGGAGCCTCTGAAGATGGATTGGCAGACAAGTGGCGAATAGAACCAGTTTCAGTACTAACACATGAACACCCCACCTCTTACAGCACACCTGATCGTGAACTCTGTTTACAACGCTACTGCGTTAATAGACAGCGGGTGTTTGTGCTACGCACTAGTTAGCAGGAAGTTCGCACGCCGAAGCCACCTTGAGCGCTTTGCGATTACCTCTCGGATAATTGAAGGAATCGATGGGAAGTTGTCGAGAATCGAGGAAGTCTCTCGATTTGAGTTTGATATGCACGGCCACCGAGAGGTCGCCTATGCATACGTGATTAACAATATGGACGAAGACGTCGTCCTAGGAAAAGGGTGGATGGACTATCAAAACGTAACTATTGCTCTAGCGAAGAGGAGCTTGTTTATCTACTCAAAGGGCATTCGAGTAAGGTGCGACGAGAGCGTCGCAAGCCGGAACGTCGCTAGCTAGGTAAGCGCGGCCACGTTCGCAGGTCTCCTGAAGAGATCTAAGGACCCAGAGAATGGAGTGCGCGTGTTTGCTGCCTCCATTGCAGATATCAACAAGGCGTTAGCGCCAAAGAAGGCAATAGACGTAAGATCGCTGTTGCCGAAGCACTATCAGAACTACTACGAGCTCTTTAATCCGAAGGAGGCAGCGAAGCTTCCCCCACATAGAGGACCTGGAGTAGATCACCGAATCGAGTTCGAGCCGAAGAACGGTCAGCAGCCACAGCCGCCGTGGGGTCCACTGTACGGTATGTTAAGAGGCGAGCTTTTGGTGCTCAGAAAGGAGCTCACCTCTCTGCTCGAAAAAGGGTTTATACGCGTGAGCAGCTCCCTAGCTTCAGCACCAGTCCTATTCGCAAAGAAGCTAGGAGGAGGGTTACGACTGTGTATTGACTACCGAGCGTTGAACGCGATAACTAGGAAGGATAGGTACCTATTACCGCTTATCCGAGAGACGCTCAACAATCTGAGTAAGGCTAAATGGTTCACTAAGCTAGACGTGATCGCAGCCTTTCACAAGATCCGTGTAGCCGAAGGCGACGAGTAGAAGACAGCCTTCCGAACGCGTTTCGGCCTCTTCGAATGGCTAGTCACCCTATTTGGCATGGCCAACTCCCTAAGTACCTTTCAGCGGTACATCAACTGGACGTTAAGAGAGTACCTCGACGATTTCTGCTCAGCCTACCTCGACGACGTGCTGATCTACACCGACGGTAGTCTAAAGCAACACTAAGACCACGTCCGAAAGGTGCTCAGCAAGCTACAAGATGCAGGCCTACATGTAGACATTAAGAAGTGCGAGTTCGAAGTGACAACAACTAAGTACCTCGGTTTTATCATCGAAGCAGGGAAAGGTATTAGAATGGACCCTGACAAGGTTAAGGCTATTAAGGAGTGGGAGGCACCTAAGACAGTAAAAGGCGTACGATTGTTCCTTAGTTTCGCGAACTTCTACTGAAAGTTTATCAAGGACTTCGCTAGAGTAGCTGCCCCTCTCACTCGCCTAACAGGTGATGTAAGCTTTACCTAGGGACTAGAAGAACAAGGAGCTTTCGACAAGCTCAAGGAGGTCTTTATCACCGAGCTGAACCTAGCGACTTTCGACTCTGAGCGCGATACAGTTCTAGAATGCGATTCTTCTGGGTACGCAGTAGGAGGAGTACTCTCTCAGTACGACGATGAAGGTGTACTACGTCCTTGCGCATACTTTTCGAAGAAGAACAACGCTTACGAGTGCAACTACGAGATCCACGACAAGGAACTGCTAGCTGTCGTCCGTTGTCTCGAGGAATGGGACGCCGAACTGCGTTTAGTCAAGAGTTTCAAGGTAATTACAGACCACAAGAACCTTGAATACTTTATGAAGCCAAAAATGCTTAGTGAACGCCAAATCCGATAGGCCGCGTTGTTGAGCCGATTCAACATGGAGATCCTGTATCGACCAGGGAAGCAGAACGTAAGGGCTGACGCGCTTTCAAGAAGAGAGCAAGACCTACCCGAGGACGCTAGAGATGAGCGCCTCTAGAAGCGTATAATACAAGTCCTAAAGCCAACGCCCCAGTGCTACGAAGAAGTTAGTGAGGAGCAAGAGGAATCGCCTAGCAGCTGGGTAATGTTAGCGAAAATACGCGTAGGGAGGGTAGGCACACCCCCTAGTCCGACTGAAGAGCAGTCGGAGCAACGAGACTCGAGCGTGGGCGACGAGGTACCTGAGCAACCGACGGAACTGGAAGATCTAGTTAGCCAGGAAGAGGACCTTGCCCAAGCAAGTGAATTGGAGAAGCTGTGGCTGGAGGCCTTGAAGGGAGATCGGCAGTATAAGGACGCCACACAAGCTGTACTAGACCAGGAACGGAGGTTCCCACCCAGCTTAGGCGTGAAATGCTCGATCATAGAGTGCTTAGTCAACGACCAAGGACAGTTGCTATATCGAGGCAGGAAGTGGGTGCCAAACAGTGAGAACCTGCGCACCCGAATTATAAGCGAGGTTCACGACTCTCTTTCAGCCGGTCACCTAGGCAGAGAGATCACCTACAAGATGATAGCCCGAGACTTCTTCTGGCCAGGAATGTCAGACAGTATTAGACGCTACGTTAGGAACTGCGATGTCTGTGGGAGAACAAAACCATAGAGAGAAGGCACCCAAGGGTTCCTTAAGCCGCTGCCAATACCTAATCAGATTTAGAAGGAGATATCTATAGACTTCATCGACGGATTGCCCCTCAGCGAAGGCATGACCTGTCTTATAGTTGTTACCGACCGATTAAGCAAAGGCGCGATCTTTATCCTACTACCCGACACTAAGACAGAGACAGTAGCCCGAGCGTTTATCAGGCAAGTAGTGGCATACCATTAGTTACCGGACGCCATCACATCCAACAGAGGGACTCAGTTTGTCAGCGTACTGTGGGAACGTCTTTGCGAGATCCTAAAGATCAATCGGCGGTTGTCAACAGCCTTCCACCCGCAGACAGATGGCGCGACGGAACGAATGAACAGCGTATGGGAAGCGTACATTCGAGCGTTTATTAGCTGGTCGCAAGACGACTGGGCATTGTATTGCCCTATGGCCCAGATCGCTATCAATGGGAGGGACGCGACGTCGACAGGAGTAGCCCCGTTCTTCTTACAACACGGCTACAACGTTGACCCACTGCAATTGGGAACACCGCTCGGCGCTGACAGGAAGAAGTACACAGCCGAAGAACGTTCAGACCGCGAGAAGGCAGAAGCAATCGTAGCCAAGTTCAGAGATGTGTTCGACCTAGTACAGGCCAGCATGGCTGAAGCCCAGGCTGAGCAAGAAAGACAAGCGAATAGGCACCGCAAGGAGGCAAGGAGCTACAAGGTTGGCGATAAAGTCTAGCTAAAGCTCGACAAGCAGTACAGGACAGGGCGCCAGTCTCGGAAACTCGATTGGAAGAATGCCAAATACACGGTGATTGAGGTGGTCGATAGCCATTCGGTCAAGCTAGATACCCCGCCAGGCCATCACCCTGTCTTCCATGTTGACAGACTACGCCTTGCTAGCTCAGACCCGCTACCAAGCCAAGTACAAGACGATTACCAACCACTGCCGCTGCGAGTCGGAGATGAAGAAGAGTGGGTTGTTGAAGAGATCGTAGGCGAACAGCTAAAGCGCCGGGGGCGTGGTTGGAAGCTGTATTTCGAAGTCAAGTAGGAAGGCTACCACCGAACAACACTCGAACCAGCGGAACTCCTAGAGAACACAGAAACTCTAGACCGATGGGAGGCTTATACAAGAGGCTTTCGAGACGAAGAGGGACAGTTACTCTAAGAGTTCCGCCGGGACATCCCTTGAAGGAGGAGAGAAGGGGAGTATTGTAATGGGCTGAAGCCTAGTTGGCGAATCCTCGATGATATCTCGGTCACGTGCACAAGCGCACAGTTCGCAGTCAACGCGTCTGAACAACGCTCAGACCAAACCCCTAAACCTCGGACCGAAGGATAATCCGAGCTGCTACTGATTAACCTTCAGGACGAGGTAGCCTACAGTTCTCTTCTCTATCAAATACAACTTCAGTATACCTGTGCGATAGCTCCCTGAGCGTAGCCCCTTACATTTTGTATTTAATCCCAATCAACAGAGCCTTGCTTCAAGACTCTGTCAACGCGACGCGCGTTAAGCTTCTTGACCGCCTCTTCTGTTACGTGCGAGTAGGTTAATCCGCTGCACGGGATTGGTGTTGTACGAAGGCACGAAAGGCCTTCAGACAACAACTAGGCATAAGCTATTGCAAGATTGCTAGCCTAGGACTGCAGCTTCGTAGGACGCTCAGTCAACGCGCTACTAGCCTCGCGTGACGTCTAGCGGTGAACGTGTATAGTGCAGCTAGTAGATCCTAGTTGCGCGCGGAGTACCGTTCAGTAAAAGCCCTACGCGATACCTCGACAGTACAGTGGTGTAGGTCCTGCTGTTTGCAAAAGACCTTCGTAAGAAGGTAAGCAATTGCAGTTGAAGCCCTGTTAGTCCTCTAAGGTTTGAGGAACAGGCAACGACCCTGCGCAACAGCTGAATTGCAGCTAAGAAGCGAGCTGT